CCCCCCCCCTTTCTTTTGGGTTGCTCTTTGTTCACTGTTCTTCGTATTTCGTTAATTGTTCCATTACAGAAGTTACCTTTATGGAATGAGGAACTTTAGATACTAAGGAGGGAGAAGAAATCTAAATTTTTCTTTTTGGAAGCATTTTTATTATTGGATAAGGAGAACTATTGGTAGCTGATAAAACAACCTCCTTGAGCAGTGTTAAGGCATTTTACTTTTTTTTTTTTAAAAAAAAACAAAAACATATTACACTTAAAAGATTTATAACAGACCATGCAGCAGTTTCCTATCTTTTTGAAGCTGTTGTGCAAATGCCTGGAGTATTTCCAAACTGTTAATCCAACCTCTGCTGTGATTGTTTGTTTAGTATAGTTTTGTTGCCTTTCATGAACATGTTTTAGTATATTAATTGCTGAACACATAAGTTCCTGTTACAAAATTATTAGTCAGGGGTCAGTGTGATGTTTGCTAGAAAATAAGTACAGTACTTTATGAAATATATCTGTAAGACAAGCTGTCGTGTTTGGCTTATGTAAAAACTTTCCCATTTGTCTAATATAACAAAAGACCCAAGACTTGGCATAATTTGTTGAAACTATGATATAAGAATGTGGTCATCTCATACATGTAATTCCAGTTGATTTTTGTGAGCATAAGTGAAGTACTTAATAGGTTAAATGCATTATGTGCATGTACGAATATTCAGCATCTGACATAACTCCTTCTAAATTCCTCCTTTTTTTTCCTTTCCTAAGGTTATTCTATATAAGACGTTACCACGAATTTTATAATCCTTATTTTCCATGCATAGTTGACTCTTGGAAAGTTAGTTTGATTACCTGATTTAAAAAATTTATCTGCATGAGCGAACTGCAGAGTACTGGCTTTAGACAGTTTGTAGGCCAATTGGAGGGGAAGCATTTTGGTAAGGAACATTTTCCTACAAGGATCCTTTTTAAAACTTGTCTGACTCTTGAAAAGTTTTCATTTGATCTACTCAAAACAAATACACTTTGATTTATTAAATCCAGTCCTATGGAATATTGCTTTAAACAAAAGGGGTTGGATTATCAAACATGTATACGAGAGTTTTTCTGTAATGCTTGCTTTCTTTAACCTTTTCAAATTACTGTTTTTTTGGGAAAGTTGTTATGAAACTCTCTAATAAATACTCTTTTTTGGTTTGCATAAAGATATCTAACAGATTATATAGAGTTAGATTTTTTTGTTGTTGTTACTACATTCATAAAACAATACTACAAAACTGCATATGGTACTATAAAACTTTAAATTGCAATGTTAAATGTATTTGGCCTCATGATGTGAGTGAAAATGCTTTAACATTTTTTTATAGTGCACAAAACTGTAAGACTTCTTTATTTCTAGCTTATTTTTATGTTTAGTAATTCTAAAGTACATATGCTTGAAAGGGTTAATATATTGAATGTTGCATGTCAGGACTTTATTTTTAATCTGTGTGAGTAGATTTAACTGCTGTTAGTTGCATCCTGAAGGGTCTTTACTAGAGAGTGGCTTACTTTTATCCCACTGGTGTGACCCAATTGCATACCAGTTCTCCTTCTTCCCTTAGAGAGAGACTCTGAGCTGTTGCGTGAACGTGAGTCCGTTTTACGTTTGCGTGAACGAAGGTGGCTTGATGGAGCCTCATTTGATAATGAAAGAGGCTCTACAAGTAAGGAAGGGGAACCAAACCTGGACAAGAAGAATACACCTGTTCAAAGTCCTGTTTCTTTAGGAGAAGACTTGCAGTGGTGGCCAGATAAGGTATTGAAATTTTTTTACTATTTTATTTGCATGCCGTGCAACAGATCTGTTTATTTTTTCCAAATAAATACTCTGTGTTTCCTTTTTGAGTATCACATCTCAGTTTATGTGAGATAACGTAATAAAGCATATTCTTTATTATGCATAAATAAATAACTAGTTACACCCTTATAGCTGCGCTTCTGTTATTACTGTTTCAATTTTCTTCTCCATGTGTTTTGAAGGCACTGCTGTAGATCATAAGGTTTGGGTTTTTTCTTTTTTGTTCTTTTTTTACTTAGGTGCTCAAAGCATTTAATAGGCAATAGGAAACTCATGGAACAATTTAAACTATCCTTCATCAAGGAAACCTTTTTTTGATTAGCATTATTATTCCCAGAGATACTTTCAGTTTGTGTGGATCAGGCTTTTAAGCAACAACTGAAAGTTGACATTTATTTGCAGTTGTGTTTTGAGTTGACCAATAACTTAAATGGGTATTGGTTGCTCCTTCAGAATCTCTTTGGCTTTGATTAGCTGGTTTTCTTTGTAACCCTAATTCCATTTTCAAGGCAAGAAGTAATTCCCACATGAGATATAAGAATAATAGGAACACCAGCTATATATTGCTAACTGGGTATCTGTAGTCATTTTCTTTATGGATTATCTAGATGCTTGGGGAAATGACTTTAAAAACCAAACCAAACCAAACCCAAACCAACCAACCAAACAAAAAAACTTCCCAGGAATGGAAGTGATAATTTATGTTTATTAGACCAAATTTTATGGACTTGGGGTGTCTTTCTAGTGTTCCTGTTTCTGTCTGTCTGTGAGGTTGCTATTTTGATATGTCATGCTTTCTTTTTCTATGTCTCTGTTTTTTCCTTTCAGGCTAAATATAGATAGAGAGCTTGAAGAGGGAGGTGAATTTAGAGGCTTATTTCTGATTACAGCAGCTCACCTTTAGCTGCTATCATCTTCATTCAGGCATTCAAACTGAGAAATTAAGATACCTGAAAAGAATGTTTGTCTAATAGTTGTTCTCCCAACCAGACCTTTTATGTCTAATGTGTGATTTTATTTTTTTCAGCCAGTAATGTTGAACTTCTTTTCAGTGAAAATTAGCAGCTTTTTTCCCCCTTGCTTTGTCATAATGGTAGAATGAGAGTCATCTAGCTTGGGTAGAGAGAGATATCAGGGGTTTTAGCATTAAAGAATAAATGTAGTTTAGATTTGGAATACTGACTTATCTTTTTTATTTCCACTGTTGTGTTTTGGTAACGTTATTATGGCCATTATTACTCTTGTGGTTTTTGTTTTGTTCTGTTTTTTTACTACTTCAGGAATGTTTTTCCTGTTAACCCCATTCTTCTCTCTGTCCCTGAAACTTAGTTATGAAATTAGGGTTTGGGTTTTTTTTTTTCCCCACTGGATGGGTTTTTTTGTTATTTGCAAACTCAGCAGATCCTGCCCTAGGACAATTATTGCAGTCTTTTATTGGGCATCTTTTATGGAATTAACTTGCTCTGATATCTAATTGCATGCTTGTTCAATTTAAATATACTGAACTTCTTCCAAGGTACCTGTTTGCGTATGCCCTCATATAAATGCTAGCTTCCAGTTAAATGAAGGTGTCTTACTGGAAAGGCCTTTCATCTTTATCCAAAAGTAGTTAACTTTTCATCCTGTCCTTCAGCTGAACATTCATAAGAAATTGTTCTGCATCTTTCTTGCTATAGCCCCACTCTGAAGTTTTGTTGGTGGTATTTTCCAACAGAAGTTCTTCAAGGTGAATCCTGAGGGAGATGATTTAGCTGAGAGGCCAGTTCAGATGTTTCTTCCATTCTGAAAATTGGAAAGGAGATCTTGAAGTGTTAATGGAAAAGACAGTGAGCTAGGGGAGAGATTAAAGTACATGAGGAATCGCTACAAAATAACCAATCTTGTTTGCAAATATTTTTCCTTCATTTTTCATTATTTTGACGTTTAGCATTTCAGATGGAACTGTAGTAGTCCATGATGAGGATGGTTACTTGCGTTTATGGGAGGTAAAGTACCAACCTGAGAGGAATGGACGAAACTTTTGGAAAACTGATAATGTTCCCAAATGCATCAATTTCACCCACAATCTGAGACTAATGGTGTTGAGACATGTTGCATAGGTACTGAGTTTTCTCCACCAAATAAGTGAAATCAACTGCTCAAGAATTCAAGTCAATCAGTGAATCTTCTGATGGTTCAAATCTTTTTGGACTATAGTACTATTAATCTACACTGCCACGTATCAACATTGTGCCATGCATATCAGAGCCGCTCTGTAGTATGGCAAGTACGGCCATTTTTTTCCTGATAGGCTGTAGTTAGGTGCAGGCTGAGCCTTTAGTTTGTTCAAGTAGCTATATTCTGTTTAGCTATTGAGATACTAAGATTTTGTCAGCGATCTGCATCATCTTCAAGTATGTAATTTCTCTGGTCTGAAGTCAGAATTCATAGTTGAACACACAAGACTGGTTACAGAATCAGAGCTGTCATGTCGTTTGTGTATCTTTGTACCGTTAGTCTTTTGAATGGCCTCATGGAGGTGTATGTAACATTGGTCCTGTAGCACTTAGATGATCACAACTGCTAATATTTTGATGGAAGGGAGAGAAAAATTTTCAATGGCAGGTCCCTTTAGTGTTGAGCTTGTGGTATGAAACTGTTTGTTTACAAAAAGTTGTAAAACATATTAGCAAGATTTAAAGTCATAATGATACTGTCTTGGAGCAAAAATTAATTGCTTTCCATACTTAACTTTGAGGCATTAGGCCAGATAACTTCTGAAGATTCATTTATGCTGATGAAGTAGAGATGCATCTGATTAGACTACAGTAGGTTCTGATGGCAGTTCTTTCTCAGAATATGCAATATTTATATGATGGCAAGTATTAATCATGACACAGATTAGCATTTGTGCTACTTCTGTGCTGTGTTGGTACATGCCCTCCAGAGGAAAATAATTCTCTTATGATTTAACTAATTCTAGATCCTGTTATCAGGGTATAAAAAAATTGCTTGTGATTGCTTCTGTCCTCTCCTGCTGCCTTCTTTCTCTTCTTTCCCAAAATATTGGTAAACATTTTGAGCTGTTGGTAAGAGATGTGCTGAATCCCATGTTATTCAAGGACACATTCACACCTTTTGAAATGTGTACTTTTGGGCATGAAAATAGAAAAAAAATAGCATGAATCCAGATTTATGAAACTAAAAATGTTTCCACTTGTAAACTTCTGTAGCTGAAAGAGAAGTCTCTTAAAGGACAGATAAATGTACTGGATGGTGGGCTTTTTTTAATGGTCTGACAAGAGTTCAGTTTCCCATCAGATGGTTGAATTGCTTAACTGTGGTATATTGTAATCTAAGAGAGGCAGCTAAAGATACTGATCTGGGAGATAATTATTACAGAGAAGACTAGTTATCATGTACCTATCTTTCAGATTTGTAGCTGTAGAAGACAGCATTTGATTTTATACTAGTTGAAGGTTTTTTTTTCATTTTTAAAAGCTGTATTCTCCTTTAAGTGGAAGGGAACTTTTAGTTGTTACCAGTAAAGAAGTTTAGAAAGAACATGGTTGTCCTATAGCTGCACTTGCTGAGGAGCAGCAAATGAACAGGCCTTACAAATGTTTCTCAGTAAACAGAAGTAAATGTCTTGTGAAATCACTCAAATTCACAGGTTTGTAGTTTGAGATCTGTTTCAATGCAAGGGGGGAACAGGAACTTGGAAAAAGTGAGGCTGTAACTGTTGCGTAGTTGCTGCAACATTGAATGGGGAAAATAGGCCTGTGAGATCCAGGTGAGGTACAGGTTGAAGCAATTGAGCAAAGCGGTACTGCCTGGGTAGTAGAAAGGTGCCATATGAGTTTTGGTAAAATGTTAAAAGGAGAAAAGGGCAGGGTGGGGAATAACCCATAATTAGAAGCTTTTCCGGCATAGGTCATAATGATGCATTAATGTGACATGTAACACGCAGATTTTTTTTTTTTTTTCCTAAAACTTGATCTTGTTTGCAGTTATTTACCTTCAGAAGTGAAAGATAAGGATTGTTTAATTGATGAGGCAGTGACTTTGATAATTGATTTCTTGGGTAGTTGGAAGATGCCATGGATACTCTTCATGAGTATGCTTAGGAATGTAATAATGGAATTATGTTGCTTTTCTGTTAATTTCAGAAAAACAGAATTTTAGCAGGAAACCTTTTTTAAAAAATGTCAGAAGTCAAGAGATCTTCCCATCTTTAATTCTATGAGCAGTGTTGTATTCTTAAAATGTTGTGGAAGCTCTTAATGAACTGTCCAAGTTAATTGCCATGTATACGTTATTGCTAAACTTCAGGAAAATAATATCTATTTCTTTCTTCCCTCACTCTCTCAGAAGCAATAATGCTTTTTTTGTGTGTGTTTGTTTGAGGGCATGCTGAGCTTGAGACAAGCTGGATATGTCTTTATTTTCAAGTTCAACATTCATGGGAACTCTGAAAAAAACTTAACAGTTACAAGTTAATTTTTTTGTATTTATGTATTTTTATATATATATATTTAT